TCATTCTGCTCTTATAGAATAACTCTTTTGTCTATTCATAACCATGTCTCCTTGTGCACTATTCTATTCTCTGTGGCCTTAGAGGAAGTTCAAATTGGAGCAGATTTCTTTCATTCCTTTCCCTGTGTCAGTAATTGTTTTCAAAGTTCTTCTCCAAGAACTCTCTTAAACCTGCCTTATTTACTGGCTTTTGTTGTCCTGTTCATGTCTCCTTTTTGATTATAATGGCAGCTACTTTGGCATCACTTGAAACAATAAGTTTGAGTGAGAAGGCTGCACTTTAATCTGATTCTTGCCACAGGTCTGGCTTTATTGGTTTGGGAGAAATGTTAATGGAAGACGCTGGAATTGTATCATCTGCTATTTAGGGTGCAATTCACTTTTTGGTTCTGCAACTGTCCAGATTCTTGGACTCTTGATTTGGCTTTCTGGCTTTAAGCAAACAGTGCCCTACTTAAGAGAGCTTTATTCCTTTTTCTCTCTGCTTGCAAAGTGATCAGTTCTTACCTGAGGTCATCTTTCTATATGTGACTGAAGTCAGCAAAGTGCTACCACCACTCATCAGTGTTCTTATCCTTTCCAAACATGTTTCTAGACATGTTTCCATAGGTATGTTGTTTCTGCAGATAGAGTGGAAAATGGATAATAAGGAAAAATAGCACTTCTGTTACAGGCATAATTCTACCTTATACATTTCAGTAGTACTTAAATTTTATGTAACTTTGTCTTACATTTGTAATTATAAAATTATTTGATAAAAACTGTCAGTTTGTGACTTGAAATATCCCAAAAAGGAAATACTAGTAGCTGATAAAACAATTGAGCTGAAAAACGCTCATTCTCCATGTTCACTCTCATTCTTTTCTAAACTGCTTGGTCATAATATTCAACGATACTGGTAGCCATGAAAGTGATTCTCTCAATGCCCTAGACTTGTGTACCTATAATTTCCCTATTATATATGTTCTTGTTCACCATCCTAACTCAGCATCCACATCCGGAAACACACTCTACAGATCATGTTATTACCTGTTAATGTGACGCCCCCCCCCCCCCCTTCTTTGACCGCTGCCACTTATCATTCCAGTTCACATCCTCTAATTGGGAACTCCAGCTAACTCTTCACTACACTGGGAATGACATTCATTGTTTCTACCAAATGTTTATTATTAGTTACAACTGCAGATCCTGCCTTCTGTTCTTAACCTGTATGAATTCCATAGCACACCATTATAATCCATTATTATAATTCATTCTCTGTTCATTGAACTTCTGTACATAAGTTAGACTTGTTTGTCAGAAGTTAACGGTGGTGAATTCTTTTTGACAGAAGACGGTGTTTACTTCCACGCATTTGAATGTGGCCAGAGGAAACAAAATAAACGAAAGACAATCTGCAGACTATTCCCACTTTACATTGATCATCCCTGATTTCTTAAACAACTATGCTGTATTTTCTTCTTTCACTTCCATCGTCTTACTGAATCATCATTTCCACCTATTCATCCCACCAAGAAAATAGAAACGTAAGAAGAAAAACAAAATTTTTGTAAACTTCCACCTACACATCTACCTACCTACCTGTATGTACACTCATATGACCTTCCTTCTTTCCTGTTATTATAGATGACCAATTTTAGCAACAATGAGACAGAGAAGGGTCATAAAAAGATGTTACAGTATGTTAGTAAGATTACCCAAATTCTGGCACTCTATGATGTCATTTTAAAGAATTTGAAATATATCCTATAAGTGTTAGGATTCAAGAATGGTCATTAAACCATTGGCTAATCAAACAACCCTATCCAGTCATTGGTGATAATGGAAAAGTTCTGTATTTGCAATGTCTGATACTGTAGGCAGTAGCCATAGATGTTATTGAGCAATTTATTGCTATTGAAATATGGCTAATAAGATGGAGAAACTGAACTTCTGTTTGTATTTTGTTCTAATTTATTTAAATTTACATACCCATATGTGGCAGTGGCAATTCTCATTGGACAGCACAGTTTTACAAGGGTAATAGGTGGAATGCTGAAGGGTTGGAAGACAAGAAGAGCAATTAAGAAGTTATTGTTGCATTTGTCTAGGTGAAAGATAATCAGTGTTTGAATAATGATTCAGGATCCCTTAGTGTAGTTCTAAAATCCAGAAAATATCAGGGGAAAAAAAAGCATTTCTGTTGTTAGTGAGATCTGACCTGACCTGAAATTATATGGTGGCAATTCCAACACTGAATTTTATTTTTTCCACTAGTATAGATGTTGACACATTTAACTGCAGAAATAATATTTTAAAGCATAGGTTGCTTCCTAGATGTATTACATTAGGTAAGGTAGATGAGGCACATTGCCTTTCTAAAATCTAAAAAATAATAATAAAATAAAATAATTCTAAGAGTGGGTATCTGGCCCTTAAGAATTATGGATAAGGATTGGAAGCCTGTAGCAAGTCAGGAGAATGGAATGGATAGAGACGGCTTTAGTGATATCAGTAAACCTTGGCTGTCGTATGACATTGGGAAGTGAGGGTCAAAGTAGCAGGAAAGAATCAGTTTCTCAGTTCAGGTTAGGGGACAGTGATTAGTATTTTAAAAATGTCTCAGAAGGAGTCATATATTTGAACTTAAGAGGAGAGGTCTAAAGATATATTCACTTCTGTTTTACAGAGTGGGCTTCAGTTTTCTGTAATTTATGCAAAAGAATATACCTAGTTGAATATTCTATCATATTTCCCTGTGTTGATCAGCCATATTGACTAAATCAATTTCTGTTTTATGAAAAGAATACTGACTTTTTCTTTTTATCTAACAAGGAATCCCATGATAATTATATATTAACTCATTTGTCTAAACAGTGGTTTTCAACCAATGGCATTTCAACCAGTGCCTCCTTTATACAGTAAATATTTTGTAACACTTCCTTTACTACCCTGGAATGAAATTCAGAGTAAATATACGTATCTATATGAACACATTTAAAATAATAAATATATTAATCATAATTTGAAGGAGAAACAAAGGGGAATAATAATGTATTTCAATACGTAAATGTGCAGGTATGAATACTCAAGAAAGCACAATGGAAAGGAGAGGTACTTGCACCATTAAGTATGTGTCAGCTACTGACATTGCTAATATTAGTAATTAAACATCTTAAATCTGTATAAATGACATACAATGCCAAACAGAATAAAATATATTTTCTCCTAATTTACACAGTATTTGTGTTCCTAGATAATTTAATATACAGTTTTGCCCCTTGAACAACATGGGTGTTGTTGCGCCAACCCCTTACTGCCCTCTCCCCTCCCCCGCCACATGCCTGGCCCTGCCCTGTACAGTCAACTTTTGATTCCTCCAAAACTTTAAGAGCCTACCATTGGCCAGAAGCCTTACCAATAACATAAATAGTTGATTAATGCATATTTTGTATGTTATGTGCATTATGTACTATATAATTACAATAAAGTAAGCTAGTGAAAAGAAAATGTTAAGAAAGTCATAGGTAAGAGAAAATACATTTATAGTATTGTACAATATTTACTGAAAAAAATTTGTGTAAGTGGACCTGTGCAATTCAAACCTGTATTGTTCAAGATCTATGTCTACTGAAACAGTTACAAACATACTCTGTATTTATGTGCAAAGTTATCTCCAGTAATGTGTGCTTTGCTGATGGGCTAATAGACACTGTAAAAGCAGTAAAGAAAAAAGAGAGAGGCAGAAACATTGTTAGCAGATGCTTGATTTTTCTTTTTTTTTTTGATGTTGAGTAAATCCTGAGATGTAACTGTAGCAATTTCTTCCATAAAATGTAAAAGAAAAAGTAAATAAATAAGGAAATGAAGGAAAAAGAAAAAAATAATGGGCTCTTTCATATGTTAACTCATGAAACCAGGAGTAAGTTTATTATTTATCTGTCCAGGGCATTTGCTGCACCATTTCCCAAGTAATTTTTTATGTTTCTTCATCAATGGTGTTGGGTATGTGTTCATTGTATAGATATCTGACTCATCTACAAATTCAACCTTCTGTTTCTTAATTTAGCTAAAACTATTTTCTAAGAATATTTATTATCTCAGAACTTTACACATTGTCTTTACTTCTAATGCCAGCTCTAATTGTTTACTTGGGAAGGGAAGGTTTTTTCCCTAAAGTAAACAATACCTTGTTCACTTCTCTCAAATATGACTTCTGTGGAAAATTGCATATCTGGCATCTGAGCCTTCCTCGCTCTATGAAAGTAAGGGACGTGGGCTGAGTACCACCCCCCCCCCCCCTTAACGTGGCCTGTACCCTCTCATGTACCACCATATTTGGCACTCTATTGTTTTTATGTAACTGAACTTCAATTGTTATTTTTTATGTTTCCTGATTGGACCCTATCATCTTTTGAGTTTATGACCGTAGGTCTTGAGGTCAAAGTACAATTAAACTTAAATTTATTTTAGCATTAATCTCTATTGCTTGATATTATAGTTGTTTTGATTGTACAAAATCTATTCCTATGTTATGTATATGTTATCTACCATGTCATTTAGTAATTCTGTGTGCTGTGTGACTATGAATTTGATAAATTGATAATGCTTTAAATCAATACTAATACATTTTTACCATAGAATTTTTATCAGAATTAAAGGAAACTTTATACAGTCCCAGATTTATTTTCCAGACTGTACCTCAAATCTATCTGCCTCTCATCTGCTTGTCCAGAAGAGGCATAGGAAAAGTAAGCATTTTGCCAAAGGCTGCCTATTTCACTAATGACAGAACTGGGGCTAGAATCCCCTTCCCTCTTGATCACTTAACTCATAATCTAGTACTCTCTCTTTTGAAACATTTTTTCCTGGGGGAAATTGCACACGTAAAAGCATCTCTAAGACAAGTGTCTTTGTGTTGAAACTTTTGTAATTTTATTTATTGTTTTATTTTAATATTATTTAAAAATACTACTATCCCAAGGTAAATTATTCTTATTTACCTATTTTATTTCAAACAGATCATGTTGTTTGTGAAGAAGAGTTTAAATACGCCATGTTAGCTTTAAACTGTATTTGCCCAGCAACATCTACACTTATTACACTTCTGGTTCATACCTCTAGAGGGCAGTAAGTATATTTTTTCTTTAAGATAATGCATTTTAAATTATAAAAAAAAAAAATAATATAAGTGTAGTTATGTGATTTAGAGGTACAGTAAGCCAAGATATACAGCTAGATATGTACTAACACTTGTATTTGTGTGAATTATCTTCATATGACAGACAGATGGATAGATACATAGATGGATAGACAGACATACAGACCTGTGAAGGGGAAGACCAAGACATAGAAAATTGACAGAGATTTGCTGTTTTTTTTTCTAATGAATCTTGAGATAATTTGTTTCATCTTAAATTCTAAGTGTCTACATCATTTGTTAAGTCTAGGATTAGGGCACTGTTTCTATTTTTGAGATACTTAGGAAATAAAATTTTTAGAAATGAGATGATGAGAATCATTAGTATGAGATCTGAAAGCTATTTTCTCTTCTATTCCTAAGGTAAGTTCTTATTTCAAAGCTATATGTACATAATTGACATCAAAATTAAATTTTTATAATTATTACAGAATAACAAAGTATTTGATAAAACTAACAAATGTAGTATAAAAGAAATCACTTTTTATATGCATTTTGAGGTAGATGATGGAGAGTCATATCATCAGACCAATTTGTTCTATGATAGAGTTTGTATTTGACTCAGATGATCAAGGAAAGTATAATCAGTGAGCACAGTCCCACTCTTATTTGAAGAGACAACGCTGCATTGCATTTCATACCTTTTCCTATTTTTTATTTGGTATTTTAGACAAAATGTTGATTTTATAGGAAAATTTTACTGTGGTGCTTGTGATTGTGATTATTTAAATTTAGTAAGTTAATTGATATTTAAGTGAAGTGCCAAGTCAAATAAATCAAGAAAAAAGGAAAATTCTTTTTTGGGATTTAATACCAGGTGGAGTAAGTTGCTAATTGGAAATAGCAAATGCCCTGCAATATGTCCAGGTAGATTTTACTCTCTTACCTCTAATTATGTCTCTGCTCTACTGAGATAGTAAGATTGTCCAAGGATTAATTTTCTTAAAGTTCGAAATGAAAATATTTCTATTCTGTGCATTTGCAAGCCTTTAATTTGTGCAGTGGAAAAGATGCAACAGGGTCATGAATGAATTGTTTTTCTTTGAAGAAAGTATGCAGCATTTTGATGAAATTAAACACTGAAAATTATTTTAACACCAATGAATGGAACATTCACAGAACTCATCACATGGGCTCATTATTTTGCCATACCCTTTTTGTCATAGAATCATACAACTTTAGAACTGAATATCTAGTCTCACTTTATCGTTGTAGAAAGGATAAAATGTGCCCATCAACACTAACATACATCATTACTCATAGACTGGTTGAATTACGCTGTTCAAGTCACAATAAATAGTATTTATTGGCACATACACTATTGCCCTAGTGAACAAATGCACTTGATATAAGCTAAAAAAGAATTTTAGTGACCCTTAAAATAGGACTTTTCCCAATATACTTTAATGAATTTTGTCTTATTAAAAAAGAATGTTGTTGAAGACCTTGTTACCACATAATTAAGGATTGTCCATGAATAAAATTGACCAGCAAAATTATGTCACAATAAATGCGATAGTCCACCAGCATAATTTTCTTCATAGCAACTTTATTGAGACATAATTCACACGTCATAGAATTCAACTGTCTACAATGTACGATTTAATGTCTTAGTGTATTCACAGAATTGTGCAAACGTCACCGCTGTCTAACTCCTGAATCTTTTCATCACCCCATAAAGACATGTTCTATCTTTTAGTAGTCACTCACATTTTCCCACAACCCTTTCATCCCCACACAATCACTAGTCTACCCTGTCACCATAGGTTTTCCTATTGTGGACATTGCATATTGCATATAAATGGAATCATACAATATGTGCTTTTTTTTTGTTTGTTTGTTTTGTGTTGTGTTTTTGGACTGGCTTCTTTCACTTGACATAATGTTTTTAAGGTTCATCTGTGTTGTAATATGCATCAGTACTTCATTCCTTTGTACAACTGAATAATATTTCATTATTTGGATATATCATTTATTTTTTATTCATCAGCTGATGGATATTTGGGCTATTTCCAGCATTGTAAATAAAAATGTTTTTAACATGCATGAAAAGATTTTTATGTGGACATATACTTTCACTGCTTTTGTTTATACTGCAGAGTTACATGGTAACTCTGTTTAGGAACTGCCAGAATGTTTTCCCAGGAGACTAACATTTTGCATTCCCACCAGCGAGGTAGCAGGGGTCCAATTTTTTTTTTTTTTTCACAATCTCAGCAACACTTGTTATGGTCCAGTTTTTGATTATAACCATCCTAGTGGATGCAAAATAGTGTCTCACTATGGTTTTGATTTGAATTTCATTCATGGCTAATAACCTTGAACATTATTTCATCTGTTTATTGGACATTTGTATATCTTCTTTGAAGAAAAGCCTACTTAGGACCTTTGCCAATTTTTAAAAATTGGGTTATTTGGGGCGCCTGGGTGGCGCAGTCGGTTAAGCGTCCGACTTCAGCCAGGTCACGATCTCACGGTCCGTGAGTTCGAGCCCCGCGTTGGGCTCTGGGCTGATGGCTCAGAGCCTGGAGCCTGTTTCCGATTCTGTGTCTGCCTCTCTCTCTGCCCCTCCCCCGTTCATGCTCTGTCTCTCTCTGTCCCAAAAATAAATAAACATTGAAAAAAAAAAATTGGGTTATTTGTCTTTGATTATTGGGTAGTAAGAGCTTTTGTATTTTCTAAATTCAAGTACCTAAATCAGATATATACCATCACTTGAACATATATAATCATCCAAACAAATCACTCAGTTTAACATATCTAATATATTTTATTAAATGTATTGTTTGACCAAGTATGTGTATTGTCTTTTGTATTATGCATTAACTGAAGATATAGTCAAGATTCACCTATTAACAGAACATGTTTGAAATTTTGCCCTTAAGCATCAGCAGAAATTAGTTCAAATATACTGAATTCATAATAAGAGAACAGACTTGGGAGGTGAATTAAGTAGTATAATGGGGAAAATGTTGAATAGTCTAAGAAATGTTTCATGCAAGGATTATCAAACCCTTAATTGAAAACAAAGCTTACAATTAATGCTCAATTTCTCCACTTTAAAAAGGAGAGATTATGCTACTAAAACTTCATTTTATAATAAATGGTGATTTTGACTACAAATAGTTGATATTCACAAGCTGTTGTGTACTATATTAGTTGGTAAGAAGTGAAAAGAGAAATTTATACTTTAGGATCCAACAAGCTGAGAAGTAAATATAATATAAAACATGAAATGGTCTAATTTAAAAATATATCTTTAAATAAAGTGTTATATAGATTATAGTATTGAGAGAAAATAATAAATATGAATTCTGAAACTAATGAGATAAATCAAGAGTTGAGATCAAAGATCAGCTCTTTCATGACACACCTGCCTTAGTTCTGCCTTAGTTCACAGTGATAATGGAGTTCCTAATTCAGCTCTAGAGATAGACTCACCCACTCAAACACCTTTGTCCTCTTCTTAGTTCTCTTCTAGCCAGTGGAAATGGGGACAAAGATGGAAGTCACATATTAAGGATGAATTGCTTACCTCTGGACTTTTATGGAAAAGGAATATTAATTTAAAAAAATTCTATCTTATATTTTGGAGTCTCTACAGCAACTTAGCCAATACCCTGACTAATATAGCTCCCATGGCTATTAGCACTCTTAACGATCTTACATTCTTTCTTCTTGTATATTAATATATTCATTCCAGTTCTAGTTGATGTATAAGTCATAAAGTAACTTGTAGATGACTTCAAATAAGTGGTTTCATTTTATTCATTGAGAGTTTCCTCTGTATTTTGGCACTTCACTCTTTTCCCCCCTCAGTTCATTTGCATTTGAGTGTTCAGTGCAGTTGGCAGTGGTATTCCTTGTTCTTGATTAAGTTAACATTTTTATTTGTTCAGCAGTCTTACCAGGAAGATGAATGTAAGTTTATTCTTTGGACAGAAATTACTGTAGGCTGTTGGACATCGACCATGATGATTTTAAGCAAGGAAACACTGATATCAGGCCAGTTGATAGATATTCATCTGACCCATATTTCATCCTTGTCAAATTGAAATTTTTCTTTTCTTTTCAATTTATTTTCATTCAAATAATATTTCATTATTCCGTTGAAGAGGTTGAGTTTTTGGCCTCAGTGATAATCAATGGGAAAGAAAGAGAGAATCGCTAAGAAAAATACTGCAAAGTTAGAATTTACAGAACTTGGCTACTGAATAGATATGAATGTAGGAAAAGGGAAAGGAAAAGAAAAATCTCTAGACCTGTGTCTAGATGGTAGAGAACTATAAAACATGTGGTTTGATAGAAGAAAAAGGAGTTTAATATGAATATATTTGCCTCCTAAACATATATACACACATATTTACTTACATTTGTATGTTTACTTTTTAAAAATAATTAGGTTATATATCACAAGAACAAAAGATAAATCAAAGGATCTTATCTGAGGGTATATTGAATCATACAAATAACTGTGAAAGCCTAAGTTTTATATGTGAAATACAGTGAAGGTCATTGCATCCTATTAGAGGGGGAGCTAAAATGTGGTGATGCAAACTTGGCCCTATTAAAAAATATTGTTAAGTATATCCATAGTGTAGTTGCTAATTATTATTACTTCTTGATAGTTGGCCTTTTACCTGAATTTTAACATATTAACTATCAGTGAGCCAAACCCAAGCATGTTACTATTATAAAATATGTGGATCAGAAACTTCTCTCATTAAAGTGACAACTAAAACTGGACTTTCTGGGAACTGCATAGCCTAGTCACAACTAATATTCCCTCTGTTTGGTAGTGTTTATGCCGCAAATGGGGCTCATAAATTCAGGGAGGAAATGTGACAGAGATAAAAGATCCCCGGTTCTGGCAGCTTGAAACAGTTGACTCACTAACTGGGAGAGTTAAGTAACATGGAACCAATTACGT